ACAAAATCAAAATTATTTGCCAGCCTATGTTGAAAAATAATACAATATTAAAATCCCATCAGCCATGAGAAGTAGTGGCGAATGTGTCAATTTTAATTTTTAATACAGTAAATATTGATACATATAATCCATACAAACAAAAGCTCTTTTGGGGTCCTCCATAATTATTAAAAGTGGGAAGAGGTCCTGAAAGAAAAAAGCTTAAAACATTGATTTATAGCTATTTTCAGATAAAACCCCAAATGTTGCCTTAGTGCTAATATGTAAGATAATCAGCTTCAAACCTTGCCATCTGATGCTCCTTGTTAAATCGTAGTTTAATTATACAGACTGAAGCAAGTTGGAGTATCATAAGAGACTCAGGTGGCAGGGAGCAGTGCTTTGGATTCATTTTCAAGAAGGTGGTTTGGAATATACAGAGGTGCAAATATAGCACCTGTCTGTAACTTTTTAAAGTATGCGTGTCTTGAATCACAGGGCTCCCCTCTGAACCTAACACAGTTATATAGTCCTGGTAGGGGGTAATGCATAAAAAGGGTATACAAGCCCAATAATTCATTTTTACTGTATTTGTGTAGTGCTAAGCCATAGCTGTGTGGATTATTCTCAATATCTGAGTTCATGTTTAGCATGTACTATAAACCCCAACCATTTGGGATTCAGTGTTTGTTTATGTAGTACAAATATGCTTCTGTAGTAAGATTGTGGGGGGAGTTGTTAGTCTTCAGGTTTTATATTTTAAAGGATAATGGTAATAAAGTATAGACATTTTAAAAATAGTACTTGATGTATCTCAAACTATACTTCTAATTTCATTTTAAAATAATGATGTGCTTTGTGATTTTTGCAAAGGTAATGGGCATTTTACACTATGACTACAGTAGAAACAAGGTAAAAGCAAATAATGGGTAGCATACACAAGCCAAGAACTATATCTAATTCATCTAAATGAACATGTATTTTCAAGGTTACCTAAAGATTTGAAAACCTACTTCATATATGAACTTTTTAAAATGCAAATTGGATTAGTGAGAAACTCAGTATTACTCATTGATATGATTAATTCCATAAGAAAAGTATCATGGAAATGCCAGTTATAATTGGTCTTCACTTGTATTTATCCAGATAGACTGGCAAATTATTTGCTATCATCAAAAGTAGGCTGATTGAAGTTTTGAGGCATAGTAGAGCTACCACTCTGGTCAGCAGCTTCTCTGGCCCTGCAGTGCATAACATCTCTAATATGAGTTCTTCAGGAATCTTATTCTTGCAGGAGTTCATTAAGAAATTTTTTTTCCATATGTATACCAGAGCTTATGATACCAGAAAAAAATACTCATTTTTAAACATTCTATCTTAAATTATCACAAATAAATACATAACTTATACGTAATTGGATTATATTTGATCCAGAATGACCATTCTGTGAATGGAAAATCTCATGTTTGCAGAAGGAACTGGAATCCAGCAGAGGCTCATGCCAAGGTGGTAATGGGGAGGAGTTGATTTTTGCCTTTTCTTGCAGACAGGTAAGCAACAGGAAGAAATTGTTGTAACCATCTCATTTTGCTATTCTAATTAAAACTGATCCTCAATCCCTGGATAATTGATTCAGATCTATGTTTAAGCATATATAATTCCTTCCATTTCATCTTACATTGCCAAGACAATAAAGCTATTGTGGAATTTATGATGTGAGCCTAGAAATCAAGTTTCATTCTGATCAGTCTTGAATTTGCAAGGGAAGAAAATTATTATGCTGTGATTAACTGGAGGAAACATTGGCATTCCAAAAAGTCAACCTTATTAATACAATATTCCTTTCATCAGAGGAAGTAGATTGAGCTTCCTGCAACACTAGTTTGGAAATGGACTGCAGATTGCTCTCCCAGGTTTTTATTTTGCTATTATGAGGTACAGTGTTTATATAAGCATTTATTTTTTTACCTCAGAAGTGTGTTGTGTATTTGCCCAGAAATACCTCTCCTGTAGGTGAAGGTCCTTACCATTATACTACCATTAGAGGGGAAGAATTTAATGGAGAATTGAATTTGTAATATTTTTACAAATATTTTTCCAGATATGGAAAATATTCTATATTAAAATACATAAACTCGTTGAAGGATTTGATATTAGACGGGGACAGGGCTAACCGTCCATATTTATATTTTATTTCTTTATATTTCAAATTTGGTCACCGTCTATATCACTAGGGAGCGACTGGGTGGTTTACAATAAAAATATTAATTAAAATTCAATAAAAACCATATTCATACATAAATAATATATTTCAAGGTACTTCTAGTAGATAAGAATATTAACCTACAGAAGCATCTTCAAGCTGCTAGCCATCCCCAGGGTTGGTTGCCCCTCTTCTCTCCCCACATGAGTTGGCAGAGCCAGATCTTCACCCTTTCTAGAAGGTCGAGAGAATAGGGGCCTGCCTTACCTCTGTGTGGAGGGTATTCCATAGGGCGGGGGCAACAGCAGAGAAAGCTCTCCTTATGGGCCCTACCAGTCAACATTGTTTTGTCAATGGGGTCCGTTGCGTACCTCCTCTGCCTGACCAGGTGGGACATGTCGATATAATGAGGGTGAGATGGTCCCTCAGGTAACCCGGACCCATGCCATGTAGGGCTTTAAAGGTGATAAGCAACACCTTGAATTGGACCCAGGCTTTTCCATTAGAAAAACAACTGAGCTTCAATTGTATGCTTACTTAACTGGGTGTAATGGCCACTGAAAAAGTGAAACCTTTTCCTAAGTATGTAGGCATAGACTGGAAGCTTAACAACATGGGCAGGTATGCATACTTAGAAATACCTTTTAATTCAGTGGGACTTATTTCTGAGTTGTTAGTTTTCATTGACTTCAGCATCATGATTCAAAGGCAACAGTTTTTCTTCAGTCTTCTGATGGTTCAGCTTTCACAGCTATTTATACTATTCTTTGGGTCATAGTTTTCCCAACTGCAATCATCAGAAGATTGAAGAGAAAATTAAATTGGGGTGCTGGAGGTAATTGAGAATACCTTATTATATTATATAATATAATAAAGTTTTTAAAAATATACCTTGGACTAGAAAAGGTATCTTTGTTGTCAATGTGACAACAGTACACTTTAAGATTTAAAGTCTCTGCACTTTAATATTTTGTCCTAATTTGTCCTAATATTTCTCCCAAATAGCAGGTGTCTATTTCTGTAAGTAGTCTATGGTCACCACTCCTGTGAATTGTTGTACCTAAGAAGATAAAATCTTGGTACTTCTGGGTGGATGTGCAAAAGATTGCATTGTGCACAGAAGATGATATGGAAGTGTATAAAATGCAGGATGGGAAGAATCAAAATTCATCCAAATTTAATGAACGGACTGTGGGATGGGATTTCTTGCTCCTGAAATCTTCTCCAGAAGCTCCTGTGGAGCAAATGAGTGCACAGTAAGAGATGGAATTTATTATGACGCCAGGTGCTGCTCTGTCCATAGACAAAATGTTTGGATATAATCAAATGGATTGACTTAAATATTAGCTAGCGTGTATAACAATGAAATTAGATTTATTCTGAATTTATTTCATAGCTCAAAAGTAAAATTTCTTCATGCAGTGTCATAAATTGTAATGGTTGCAGGCATAGATAGTTTAAAGTGAAACAGACAAATTCATGGAAAATACAGATAGTCCCAAGTTTAAGAACAAGTTCCGTTCCAAGGTCTGTCCTTAAGTCAAATTTGTATGTAAGCCAGAACAGTATTATTTTATAATATTATATTAGTATTGTGTATTTAACTTGAATCACTGTGTATTTAACTCGAATTTTGCTATGTAGGCTCTGTTCTTAACTATGTGTCATTCCGTAAACTGGGCGTTCTTAACCTGGGGACTACTGTACCACGATCCAGCAGTATTAGCCATTGTAGCTAAACGGAGCTCCCATTTCAGGAGCAATATGTCACTGGATAGCATTTTGCCTAGGGAAGGAGAAGTTACTGTATTCGTGCTCTGATTTCTAGAAACTGGTTAGACTCAGAAAGAAGCAATGCTTTTCTAAATAGATCCTCCTTTTCATACAGCAGATCTTTTATCTTTAAAAGTTCACATGGTACAGCTAAACATAACTTTCTCTTTAAAAACATACTTGATAATTTTAATGAAACTTGAATTAATAAAACTAAGCTGCATTTAAGAAAAAATGATTCATTGTCAAATCAATTGGCATTAAGAGTTAAAATGCATCTAAGCATTGATGCCAGTGATCTTATGCACACACAAATATAAGACTAAGGCTACAATCAAATGCATCTCTGAAGGTATAACATATATTGCATTCAAGCTGCCCAAGCCAATAAAGATGCTTCAAATCATGTTTGCTATTTTTGCCTAATAAAAAAATCATCTTTGTCTCAGAATATTTTTAATTTATAACAAACCAGAATATTTCAAGCCTTGTTAACAGTTAACTAGTAGTTGTTAAGAAGCATCAGACGTTCCAACTATATAATTAAAAATAGTGCTTTTCTTTATAGTTCAAGATATTTTTTGAGAAACCTATCATCTATGACCAGTTTAGCATTTTGAATAGTAGTCCCATATATGTATTGACTTATTTCACATTTTTGTTTCTTTGACTCTACAAGTATACTATAAATTTTAGAGACGGTGTTACCATGGGGTGATCAACTAGATGCATGATGGATTTCTAAAATTCTAGGTTAGGTATATGGATACTACTAATACAAAGATTACTTTAAATACGTTTTTTATTCTTTTTTGTTGCTGAATATTTACCAAAGCATACTTCCAAGTTTTGGTTATATTTAAAAGTGTGTATAATTTTGGGGGAGAGAAAGGTGCTATTTTTTGCACCCTCCACTGTGCACATGTTATTGTAAATTTAGACTGCTGAAGAATGGGAGCATATCTACCCTGATGTTCCTTGATTCTATTACTGGATTTATAGTTGCACTATAAGCAAGGATTTGTTGATGGATTTATTGTTTCTCAGTCTTCCTTTTCCATCTCTGTAAATAGTTATCACAGTGACACTACAGGACTGTTGCCCAAATAATAAAGAATATGAAATTATCTTAGGATGGCTGGGACAGCAGGAGACAAAAAAGCAGTTACAGAGAAACCAATAAAAATCTAAATGTATACAGTGGTACCTCGGGTTACGAACGCCTCTGTTAACGAACTTTTTGGGTTGCGACCAGCTCCAGCCACAAAAATTTACCTCGGTTTCTGAACTCCGCCTTGGGTTACGAACCAGATCCGTGGCCTTTTTCCCTGCTGCCACGCGGTCGTGGCTTCCTGTGGGCGAGATCGCGGTA